TCCCTTCTTCTACCACTCATGGTGGGCATGCTGCAGGAAATCCAGTCACTTCTGTCTTGGAGAAACTACTCTGGTGCTGCAAGGGGGCTACACTAGAAGGAATGAGGAAGAGGAGACCAGGAGATTCAGCATGAGTCCTTCATCCCTAGGGTGGCCCACAGCAGCCAGAGGAATCTTCCTTAAATAGAAATCTGATCCCATCACTCCTGCTTTAAACCACTTCAAAAATATACACTGAGTCCACCATGAACTGGTGCCCACCTCACTTCATCTCTCAAATCTCTGCCCCTCACTCAGGGTGACCAGCCCACCTGCTTTCCTGCTCTTCCTCCAACTCCCTCAATGCCTGTCCACATCCTGGACCCTATGTTCCTATTCCCTTTATCACCCATCTTCCAGGTCTCAAGCAGGGCTCCTTCCTCAGGATGACCTCCCCAACCAGTCTCCAACATAATTAGGCCTTTTGAGTCTTATCCTCTCTCACATCACAGCTCTGTATTCTTTCCTAATAGCCTTTCTCGCAGCTTGTGTCTCTATATGGCTGTCTGTATAATGGATAATTTGAAGTCCCTCCTCCCCATTGGACTGAAAGCTTCATGAAAGCAGTGGCCACATCCGACTTTTTATGTCTGGATATGCATAGCCTGGTACAGTGCCTCACACATAGAAGGTGCCCAACAAGATGTGCTGGATGAGTGAGCGTGTAGATACCTTCCATGGTGATAAGTAAACCATAGGTATAATTATAGGTGGCTAGGGAAGGTGCTGCCATCTGAGCTAGGTTTTAGGAAGATCAGTACTGGCTTAACAGACAGGCAAGGGGTGACAAGGACATTCTAGGAAGAAGGAGTAGCATGTTCAAGGAGGAGGGAGCATGAACCACCCTGGAAAGTGTGGAAAATTCTAAGGCAGAATTTCTCAACCTTGCCACTGTTGACATTTGGGGCAGGATAATTCTTTCAGTTTGGAGGGGGGATGTGACTATGCACTGTGGGATATTTAGCAGCATTCCTAGCCTCTACTCACTAGATGCCAATAATGCCCCCCCCCCTTAAAGTTTTCACAACCAAAAATGTCTCCAGACATTGTCAAATGTCCCTTGGAGGAAAAAATCATCCTCCACTTCTCTGGGTAGGTTTGACATGCTAGTGTTCAAGGTATAAGTGGGAGCAGTGGGAAAAGAAGCCAATAGGGCAGATAAGGATTTCCCAAGGTAAATATTTGGGATTGTAGCCTGTGGAGATGACTGAAAAGGGTTTCCATGGGAGAGAGACCCAGTCCCAACTCTGGGGATGCTCCCTCACAGGATACAATGTGGAGGATTTGATTAGAATGATAGCAGAGGTGGGCGGCAGGCCCATCTCCTCTCCTGAGGCAGCCACCAACCCCTCCAATACTGGACAGGGAGGGAACATTGGAGGTTAGGATGTTCTCTCTGGAGTATCATACCCAGACCCCACCAACTGGTCCAGGGAGTCCAAGGAGGAGTGTGGCCACAGATGAGGGGTATAGAGTTTGGGAAAGCACTCTTAGAGGTGGGAGGCTTCTTGTTATTGAGGGCAACACAGTGCAGTGGGGAAAACTGGGGTTTCAGGTGCACTGGGATTCCAATGCTAGCTCTCTCATTTCATCTGTGAAGCTGGGGCAAGTCACTCCATTGATCTGAGAGCCTCAATTTCCCTATTAGTGAAATGGGTGCACTAAACTCCCTTCACAGGGCCATTGGGAAGATTAAGTGAAACAACAGCCATGAATGCCTTGTGTGGCCCATTCCCAGGCCAGCACAAGGACTTCAGATTTGCTTATTTCTCCATTTGGCCTCCAAAAAGGTTTTACCCCTAAGGCTCACAGACTCCATACTAAAGCACATTTGGTGATCAAATCTAAAGATGATTAACAGTATCACAAACCAAGCATACCCTGTATTTTACATTATAAAAAACCCATAATTTAACATTGGGGTCAAATATACTTCTTTCTGATGAACACTTTGGCTTCAAACACTCACCACCTGACTGGAACCTAACCAAAAAACTGATGACTGTGTCAGGACTCACATCACCTTCCCTATGACCTGTGATCTGAGTCCCAATATTCTTATCCCCACTTTATAATGAGGAGACTGAGGCAATTTAGGAAACTCATTTCAAGTCATTAGCCAAGGTAAAAATAGTAAAAGTTGGGGCAGAGATGTGAACCCTCCTAGAGAGGTAGCTTCAGAGTCTATGCTGCTAACTATGCATTTGGAGGACCCATTTGGCTGCTTGAGTGGAATTCACTTCTAACACATCTGTTCTAATGTCAGGGTAAAATTTGTTTACTCTTGTAAATATTATAAAATCAAAATACTAGTACAGAAAATCACTACTAGAGTTTCCCACTCAGAGAAGAGAAGACAGAGGACTGAGGGAGAAGAAACAAGTCACACAAGTCTCACCATGGGTTGGCAACTGAGCTCAAGCTAAAGCCCAAGTCTGTGGACTCCCAGGCCAGCTGGCTCCTTGTTCCTGCTGAAGTGGAAGTTTCTGGAACAACACTGCCTGGGTTCTGTGTTCTCTAGGGATTGCCAGAATGCTCACTATGTGCTTTGGGAAGTTACTTTTACCACTCCATGCCTGAGTTTTGTCATTTTTAAAAATTGGGTTAAAATAGCAATTCCCTTATTGGGTCTTAATAACTACTGAAAGGGTGAAAAAGCGCATGCACACACATGCGCACGCATGTACATATGGCTTAGAACAGAATCTAATACTTAGGAAGCACTTGAAAATGATCATCATTATTCTTTTATAGTTACTTTTGTGCCAGGCACTTTACATATGAGGCCATATCTAACTTTGTTCGGACCACTGTTGAGGCAGGGATGATCATCTCTACTTCACAAGGGAGGAAATGGTGGTGCCTAGTAGGACGACTTTGTCATGAACATCAGAAAGAGTCTGTAATATACCCCTGTAAGGATGTGTCCCTGTAGGGATTTGCATCTTTTGGGATGCGTTGCTTTCCCTTTCCATGCATGCAAGTCCTCAATATATTTGTCCTTCAGGCTTTGGGATAGCTTTTTGGTACATCTGGACTGGGAACTCAATGGTTATTGTGTCTTTTCCTCTCTAAAGAAGAGGAAGTCCTCGAAGGCAAAAGGATGGGTTGGGGGGAGTAAGGGGAGATACGTCTGGATGACTTGCAGTGTGTCTAAGGATAGGGGAGGGGTGATCCCACCACAATCCCTTTTCCTTGCACACCTTTTAGGAACATACAGATCTTCCAGGCTGTAGCTGTTGGCAGAAGGATAAAGAATCTTCCTGAAACCTCACAAAACCTCAAGAAAATATCCTCCTGCTCCTCCTCAATTTCTGTTATACCTGGGTTCAAATTCCAGCATTGCCACTTACTCCTTCTGTAAGCTTGAATAACTAACCAAATTTCTCTGATCCTTTGCCCTTTCACCTATAAATTTGAGTGCATAATCCCTGACTCCCCTGTGGAAATATGCATCCAGCGCAGTGGTTCTCAACTTTGCACACATGAGTCACCTGGGGGGATTTAATTAATACTGATGCCTGGGTGTCACCCCCAGAGCTCTGACATAATTGTTCTGGGGAGTAGCCTAGATATCAGGATTTTCAAAGGCCCCCTCAGGTGATTCTAATATGCAACTAAAAACTAAGAGCATCTGCTATATGCGTAGCAGATACCTAATTAATACATTAATACTGTTTTTTTCACATTTCTTTAGTGTTAGGTCCTGTTCACATTTTATTTTTAAAAGCTTTATCAGTCTCACAGGATGGCTCAAAGATTCTTTATTTCTGCCACCCCCATACACATTCTCATATTGACAATCTCCGCACTTTCAAAACAGATGACTCAATCCCCAGCCAATCATCCAGGCCCTTTATCTAGCTTTGGCTCCTCTTCTGTTCATTGGATAGAGCCAATTGGTTAAGACACACAATGCCCTCCTGGAGATGCCAATGAGAAAATCAAATAGATGGAATGATCCATTGTTTGCTCTTCAGCCAGGGAACTCCATCATTTACCTTCAAATCTATCTCTTGCAGTATGCAAAAGCTCACATCATAAAAATCTCAAGTTCTTTCAACTGGATCTCACACAATAATGTTTCTCCCAGCTCTGTCCATGGGATAACTTTTGTATCCATGCCCACCTTTATATAAATGCCCACCTCCATTCTTCATGGACTACTCCCATGTCAGGAGATGTGCCATCAGCCAGTCATTCATTTCCAGCCACGCCTCCCTAAAGACGCTCTACTCTAGTCACGCTATTTCTCAAAAGCTCTCCATGCTTTGCATATGTCTTAAATGTCTTTTCCTCCTATGGTCTATCTGGAAGGTTTTTACTCACCTTTACAAGCCAAATTCAAATATTCTTTTCTGCAGGTTACCCAACCTGTTCCTTCCAGTCCCCTCCCACCCCATTAGAATGTAATTGTTTTCACTCTTATGCTCTCATAACCTGTGAAATTCTCAGGTATAACATTTACCCTGATGCATTATATTATGCATTATACAGAGTAGGGATTTTGTAATTTGTCTTTTCATAACTTGTAGCACAGGGATACGGCCTTAGCAGGTGCAAACTAAATGCTTGTTGGACTGCATCCAATTCTCTGTCCTCAAATCTATACCACTGAATTCCTGAAACACCTCCCCCAAATAATCAAGACAATTTTCTCTGTCATCATCTACAAGCTTATTAGTATTCATCTGCTATGATAAAACTTTAACAAAGAAAGGTGAATTGTCTTGCCCATGTATGTATATGTGAACAAAAATTGAGTAAACACTTACCATAAACCTGAAATAACACAAGAGATGTCATGTCTCTGAAAGGAATGACTACATTTAATAGGAAAGGAGACATATTTGGCTGAGGGTATGAGAGGATTTGGGGAGGTGGAATTTTTGCTGCTTTATTTCCTGAGATGGGAGGTGGGGAGCATGAGGGTCTGATGGGGAAAAGAGCAACTGCTTTACCTTTTCCGGAGCAGGCAGCTGTAAGTGGTTAACCTCCAAAGGAGTGATGAGAGGGACGGTCTGGAAGCCATCCTCAACCGAAGGCGGCTTGGTTCCCTTCTCACTGGGGTTACTGTTCAGCTTCACCATCCTTATGCCTTTCTTCCCAGACCTAAGACAAGCAGTGGAGTTCTAGTTACAGTGGGAGGTGAGGCAGGGAAAGAGAAGGCTGATGACAGAGAAAACAGCAGCGTCCTCAACGGGTCCACTCGGCTTTCAGTGTAGAGATCAGTCATCTATCTATCCTTTGCTAGATTTCTTGACTTGAAACCATTATCCAGTAAAACTTCTTTCATCATCAAAATATGCCACCTTCCCATGGGGTTCAATAGCCCTCAAATTCAGGAAACTCAAGGAAAATCCCAGACTTACACAAACAATATACAAGCTTTCAAAAAAAAAAAAAAACAAGACATTAGAGCTAATACAGTTATATAACCTCAGCGAAAAGCTAATTCTTACTGAAAAATTAAATCCTATTATTCTGGGTCACCCTGCTGTATGATAAATTTCACCTTACCACCACACCTTACCCCCTTGCTATTTTATTATGCTAGCTTTTCTTCAGCCATCTCCCTAAAACACAATAAATACATTAAATGTCTCTATGTGTACTGTACCCTTTCACATAAAATGTAAGTGGTACAGGAGAGACAATTTCATAAAACAAAACAAAACAAAAAGGTTGGCTTGAACCTGATTCTGTTATTCAGCCATGGAATGCCTCCATTTCCTCAATAGTGAAGGGCCTTTTTTTTTTTTTTTTTTGCTTCCATGGAAAGTTAGCAACCCCCATATTGCAAGATTGCCAACTAAATAAACAAATCACATTTATTTCTCTCAAGCTCCCTTGGAAGTCAAACGGTGCTCCCACCCCACCCTTATGAAGCCCATACAACTGAATTTCTCTTGTCAATCCTGCTGATGGAACATTATTAGGCAAAATAGGATTGTTGTGGAGGTGAAAGGGATGGTAAAGGGTCGGAGGATATTAAGGAGTGATTATAGCAAAAACAAATGCCTACTTACTGTGCTGCACTCTTGGGGGGTCAGAGCAGATTCAAGCCAATTTGAAGAGGAGGAGGACGACCAGGAGTCCTCCCTCCTCAGCCCGAGCTTGTGGTGCTGAAAGGACAGCGCCTTGCCTGTGTCTGGATTGGGAGTTTCTGAGAGCGAGGCGCGAGCGAGAGGAAGAGCTCCTGGCAGCTGCCTGCCTGCTCCCTCGCTCGCACCCCCTCCCACCGGGGAACGGGCTCCCACACCATCTGTCATCTGGCACCACCTGCTGTTTCTCATGCATGGCCACAACCAGGGCATGAGACAAAATGGTTTCAAGAAAGTAGGAGGGATTCTGGCAATAATAATAAATAACAACAAACAACAACAACCATATAATAAGCAATCTTTCAGTCTTTAGAAAAAAAGAGGAAGGAGACATATTCATTAGGAGAAGGGACCACCTTTTAAAATCTTCCAGAGCAATATTATAAAACCCAAAATGGTTCAGGACCTGCACTGTGCTCTGACCTGAAGTAAAGGGGAAACTATATTTATTGAGTATATCCCATGAAGCGGGCACTTTTCCAGGCTCTTTCAAACTATTTCCTTCATTTGCAAAACGTGATAGGGTTAGTGTGAGGTGTGAATGTGATAACAGCTCAGAGGCACATGGCTAGCACTGCATGTGAGAAGCTACTATTCTCACAATACCACCATAATCACACAGGTCAGCTAAGGTTGCACAGCTGGTATAGCACCATGAGCTGGAATTTGAGCCTGGATCCATAGCCACTGATGTTTTCATGCAGTTCACAACTTTTTATGGCTTCCAAGTTGGTGTCTGGAATCAGGGGAGGAGAAGTCCTAGTGTCAGCTCTATGAAGTTCTGACTGTGGAGATCTTGGACATTTTATATTCCCTCTCCAAGCCTCCATTTCTTTATCTCTGATATGGGAATAATAATACCTTCCTTGCAGAGTGGTTGTGAATAAGATGAGACTGTGCTCAGGGAAACCTCTTTTAACTCAGAGACAGGGTTCTGAATGGCTGAATTATTTCACCTCTGGAGATTGCCCTTACACTCTTGGAATCCTTTGAGATTAAGACTACTGCCACAGGTTTCTCCTCACTGTGATTCAAATCACTGTTGGTTGGGAAAAAAAAACAAATCACTGTTGGTCACTTATCCCCAGCTGCAGTGATGTTTATGATGCACGTCATAAGATCCAGTGGTTTTGGTATTAGTAATAGCATTCTCTTTCACTTTCAAAAATATTCTGGTTCCCATGATAAATTGTTTGGTCACCTAAATTAGTGCTCACATGATGAGTATACACTCTACTGGCTAAAAAAGCCAGAAGAAAACATGCTTTTATCTGTATTGTTCAGTAATGAAATGGACATGTATGTGCATGTATGCGTGTGTGTGTGTGTGTGTGTGTGTGTGTGTGTAAACAGAAATGCTTCTGAGACAGTAAAGTCTATAACATATCAGAGCTGTACAGGGTACTATCAATAGAGGTATGTATATATATGAGAGGAAGTTACTCTAATATTAGTTTCTCATTTTCTCCTTTCCAAAGACCAAGACGATTTTCAGGTGCAAGCATAATCTAAGGAAAATACAATGTAGACACCTACATGGAGTCAATTGTGAACATTTTTGTTCAATTTAATTATTTCTGCCTCCAGAGGGGGAAAAAAAACCTTCACACAGCTATGGGTGATTCACAAGCAGAAATCAACACTTTAATAACTCCAAGCCAGAGATTCTGATAGTTTAGTAAAAAAAAAAAAAAAAAAAAAAAGGTCCAGGAGAAGTGTCTGTCTCATGGCAATAAGAAATCCAAGCTTTTGGGTAAGTGAAGCCAGGAGAGAGGCTGCAGGAAGAAACAGGGTGCTGGAGTGACGTGAGAAAATCTCTTACGGGAGAATATGATATTGAAAGATGCTTAATATAATAGACTACTATTCTCCTATTGAGTTCTGGGAAACATGCTTGACAGTGAAAACACAAATAGGACATTTTTATGAGGTTTTCCGTGTGTAGATGTAATATATAGGATAACTGCAACAAAAAGAAGAGAATATAAAGGGGCCACTACAGTAGTAATGTATCTGTACTCTACATGGTAAATTACTGATTCTCACTGAACAGTGAAAAATTAGTTATGTCTATTCTCCATAATAACCAAAAATATACAGAGATAAGGTCAAAACTGCAATAAAGAAATATAAATGGAATACTAAAAAAAATAAATAAATCCAAAAAAGGCAGAAAGGAAAAAACAACAACAACAAAAACAAAGGAAATAAGCAGAAAACAAATAATGAAATAGTAGACTAAATTCAAACTTAACATTATCATCCAGAGTTCATAGTCCACATTAGAGCTCACTCTTGGTGTTGTACATTCTATGGATTTAGACAAATGTGTAATGTCTCCACCATCAGACTATCACACAGAATAGGTCACACTGTTGTAAAATCCTCTGTGCTCCACCTGTTTATCCTTTCCACTCCCCTAATCCTTAGCAACCACCGATCTTTTTATTGTCTCCATAGTTTTGTCTTTCCAGAATGTCATGTAGTTGGAATCATATCATAAGTTGCATTTTATTATGTGAAAGAACCAATCTTTCACATAGTAAAATGCATTTATGTGTCCTCCATGTCTTTTCATGGCCTGCTAGGTCATCTTTTTTTTAGCACTGAATAAGATTCCATTGTCTGGGTGTTCCACAGTTTATCCACTCACCTACTAAAGGACATTGTAGTTGCCTCCGTATTTTGGGAATTATGAATGTGGCTGCTAAAAACATTTGTGTGCAGGTTTTTGTGTGGACATAAATTCCCGACTCCTTTACGGAAAAACAAAGGAGTCCAATTCCTGTATCATATGATAAGAGTATGTTCAGTTTTATAAGAAACTGCCAAACTCTGTTCCAAAGTGTACCATTATGCATTATGCATTCTCATTCATGCAATGAATGAGAATTCCTATTACTCCATATCCTTGCCAACATTTGGTATTGCCAAGTCTCTTGAATTTGGCCATTTTAATAGGTACAGAGTAGTATCTCATTGTTGTTTAATTTTCATCTCCATGATGACATATGATGTGGAACATCTCATTTGCTTATTTGCCATCTATATATCCTCTTTAGTTAAGTGTCTATTAAGGTCTTTGGCTCATTTTTAAAAATAGGTTTTCTTATTGTTGAGTTTTAAGAATTCTTGTATATTTTGGGTAATAGTCCCTTATAAAAAAAACATATCTTTTGCAAATACTTTCTCCCAGTCTGTGGCTAATCTTTTCATCCTTTCGAGAGTATCTTCCGCAGAGCAGAATTTTTTTTAATATTGATAAAGTCCAGCTTATCAATTATTTCTTCCATGGTTCATGCCTTTGCTGTTGAATCTAAAACATCAAACACAAGGTCATCTAGATTTTCTCTTATGTTATCTTCCAGGAATTTTATAGTTTTGCATTTTACATTTAGGTCTGTGATCCATTTTGAGTTCATCTTTGTAAAGTGTGGAAGGTCTGCATCTAGATTATTTTGCATGTGGACATTCAATTGTTCCAGCATCATTTGTTGAAAAGACTCTCTTCTGTCCATTGAATTGTCTTTGCTCTTTATCAAAGATTGATTGACTATATTTAGGCTTATTTCTGGGTTCTCTATTTTGTTCTCTTGGTCTATTCTTTCTCCAATAACACATTGTCTTGATTATTGAAGATTTATAATAAGTCTTGAAGTCAGATAGTGTCAGTCTTCCAACTTTGTTCTTCTTTTTCAATATTGTATTGACTATTCTGGATCTTTTGCCTCTCTATACAAAATTAAGCATTAATTAGTTGATATCCATAAAATAACTTGCTAGGATTTTTATTGAAATTACATTGGTCCTATAGATCAATAGAAAATCTGGCATCTTGGGGAAAATTGACACATTTACAATATTGAGTCTTTTCTATCCACGAACATGGAATATCTCTCCATTTATTGAGATCTTCTTTGATTTCTTTCATCATATTCTTGTTTTCCTCATATATTTGATATATTTTGTTAGATTATTCTCTAGTATTTAATTTTTTTGGTGGTATAG